GGTGGCGGGAGGGGGGGACGCGGGTCATGGAGGGGCAGGGGGTGGGCGGGGGGGGGAGAGGGGGGGTACGCGGGTCAAGGAGGGGCAGGGGGCGGGGGGGGCGGCGGCGGCGGCGGCGGCGGCGAGCGCGGGGGGGGTCAAAACATTGCGGCGCGGGTTTAGAGGGTTGTGGAGCGGGCGGGGAGGGGGGAGGCTCTCACATACTGGACGAGCCCCTCGCCAACCGGGGGCGGGACGACCACCCAATCCTCGCCCACCTTCTTCTCCTTCGACTTCACCCAGCCGATGGTGACCTGTCGGGGAGGTATACCTGTCGATGCGTCTTGCCCATCGGGGCGGCGCGATGAGAGGGCGGCGAGGGGCACACGCACCCGGGCGACGCTCACGCCGAAGGGGTTGACCTTGGCGCGCAGCACGCCCTTGCCGGTCTCGCGGTACACGCATCCGTCCTCGTCGGGGTCAGTCGGGGGGCCCTCATACTTTCCGACGTTGAGCGAGAGGAGGTACTTGTCGATCGCGTTCGCCAGGCCTTTGAGGCCGTCGGCGATGGGGTTCCCCCCGTCGTCTTGCTTGGTCTCAGGGTCGAGCTTCTGAGGGGGATGGAAGGAGGGCGGGGGGCGGCGAGGGTGGAGCAGGCGGAAGCGGATCTCGTGCGGATCAGGGGCCTCCACGACCGGGAGGTGGCGGTCGCGCGTTTTTGACGGCGCGCGGGGGGGAGCTGGAGGCGAGGAGCTGGGGCGCGCGAGCGGACCTTCTTGCACTCAGCCAGGTATGCCTTCGTCGGCGGCGGGCAGGTGGGTTGTGCAGGCATTCCTGTGCGTGAAAGCGTCGTGCGAGACAGGGACTTGTGCAAAGGCGATCGTGATTGGGGGCGTCTTGGAGGCCGAAAATCGAGAACGGAACCGACCGTCCGGCCAACTGGGTGCGCTTCTCAGCTCCCCGGTCCTGGGCGTGAGGTTAATGACCGCACTCCAAGTGCTCCAAGAAACGGCTACAGCGGCCGTCACACGACGCTCGGCTGGCGAATAAAAGAGCGAATCAGGGAGAACCGGAGCCCCGGGAGGGCGGGCGGTGGAACCCTGATACGGGATGCTGAGTGAGGACCGGTGTACGTGCGTGGTGTACAGTGTCGTGTCTACTAGCTCCGAGTAGAGGGGGCGTTCTGAAGTTAAGGGGAAACCCGGTACACGGAGCCAACCCTCGGAGACCTCCGCAACCCGATCCCGATCATCCGGCCCGCTGGGTGCGCTTCTGAGCTCCCCGGCCCTGGATGTGAGGCTGATGACTGCACTCCAAGTGCTCCAAGGGCGGCGCACATTGTGCGAGTTGGAATTCAAGCCTCTTCCAGTTTGCTGTCTGCCTGACTCAGGCGCTCAATCTGCCGATGCGTGATTGTGTGTGGGCTGCTCCAAAGGGGGCCCTGTGTGATCCGACGGGTAGGGAGTCTGTGCCCGGGCGGTGTCCGGTGTGGAGTCTCTCTCTGATCCCGCCTGTGATGTTGGGTCTTGGGTGTGGTGTGGCGGCTGAGAACCCAAGGAGGGGAGCTGATCCCACTCGGTAACCAACTCTCAGGGGGAGAAGGTGGGCGAGCTTCAAGCACGCTCATCTCGATCGACAAGGCGTCGCTACGGCGGTCTGCCACTGGGGGGAGCCTCGTCGACGGGTGCGGGACCGCGGCGCAGCCAGTGTGCCGCGGCCTCCGGCTGTCTGCGGCGGGTGGCTCGCTGCTCGCTGCGAAGGCGAACAACTCGTCTCGTCACACACCAACTCGAGGGGCCAAACTATGCATGTAAATCGACCACCTCCAATAAGACTACTCTCGTGAGGCTGTGTGAAAGCACGCCCAACCTGGCGGATTTGGGCAAGTGCGTCTGTTCACAGCTCAGGAGAGTACAATAAGACTGGTCTTCACTGCAGCACGCCTCGAGCGAGTAAGTAATGAATGCGTCTGTTGGCCAATACAATACTTAATCGAGCTTCTCGCGCGCTCCTCAGCTGGCGGTCCGCAGGGCCGCCCAGGCCGGGCGAGAAGCGCAGTGAGGGAGGGCGAGACGATCGAGGCATCCCGTACCCTGCGGAATCGACCCTAAAAACCCGTCCAACATTTTGCCGTCCAGCGGGCGCGTCCAGCGTCGTAATTAAATGAACTCGGGGGCACGGGACGCGGCACAAACGGGGCACAAACGCCAGGCTACAAAGACGGGGAGGCACGTAGTGACGCAGGGGGGTCTAGGCGACGGCGGCGTCCTCCGACGCCGCGGCGAGCCTGAGCTCGGTCGCAATCTCTTCCGCCGCCGCGAGCTGCAGCGCGACTGACATGCGCTGGGCCTGCAGCGACAGCCACGACCGCGTCGACCAGCTCGCCTCGTCCTCGTGCTGCCGCTTCGAGAGCTTGTTGCGCACCTTGTCCTTCATCTAGTGGGACGAGGAGAAGGTGGCCTACTGCTGCAAAGGCACCTTCTCGGCGGCACTCTGGTGCTGCCAGAAGGGCAAGTGGTGCCCGCCGGACGACGAGTGGGTCGGTCTGCGCATGAAATATACACCGCCAGCGCCACCGCCTTCGACCGCAACGCTGGCGGCGGCGGCTCGCATGAGGGGGGATCCGAGGCCGTGGGGGCGGGCCCTGGCGGAGGAAGAGGAGTTCCCTCTCGAGGACTGGCTCGACGAAGAGGAGGAGAGGGGCGACGACTCCGAGGCGCTGCACGCTGGCAAGAGGGCGCCCGAGCGCGGGGGCGGCCGCTCTCGCTCGTCCTTCTCCTTCTCACGCTCGCGATCGCCGTCGCGCTCGCGATCGCCGTCGCGCTCGCGCTCCTCGGCCGCAAACAAGCCTCCGCCTCCCCTCGCGTACACCACCAGCAGGCCAGGCTGGGCTCAGACTGGCGGCACAATGCAGTACCCTCGCTCCACGGCCGCCCCAACAGGGTATTACGCCGGTGGCACGCACTATCCGATGATCGGGCCCTCATACCGCTATCTCGCGCTCCACAACGTGCTGCAGAGGAACATGATGCTCTCCACCATGCGCGCCCCGTACTATCGCGGGCACAGCTCTGGCGGAGGGGGCTCCAGCGGCCTGAACGCCTCGATGGAAGAGGTTCCTCGCTCCCTGATGCGCGTGTACAGACAACCAAGAAATGGGGGAGCTAGGTGACTTGAGCGGCTTGACCCCATCCACCACGTCTCAGGTGACGCTCGAGCAAGCACTGGACAGGTTCGACTTGAGCACTTTGCTCACCGTTCCAGAATCACCTGAGGCCGCTGATTGGCATCTCATCGTGCAGAACGCCACCGTCGTTCAAGATGCAAGGCGCGGGGCAGAGTGATCTCCAGGGTCCTTCCTGTAAGGTGCCTATATGGGCTTCCAGTATCGGACCTTCAAGACATGCGCTTTTGGCCGGTGGCCTCCTCGGACATGGTACCTCCGGTGAGATAGTGGCTGCCAGTTCGAGACTGGGGCCGATCGAACTTGAGTTGTTCGGAGGAGGAATCCGGCCAGCACGGGTACAAAGAGGGGTACCCGGAGAATCCCCAGCTGCGGAAACGTAGTGTCGCTCAAGAGGTGCGATACTGCGGGGGAGTGTAAGGTGCCTATATGGGCTTCCAGTATCGGACCTTCAAGACATGCGCTTTTGGCCGGTGGCCTCCTCGGACACTTCCCCTTTACGGCTCTACTGGGCTGGGTTTTTAGGCATTGTGGGGTTGGCACTCCCATCGACCCTCATGACCTCCTGCGGTCTCTGAGATGGACACCAGTGGGTGTGGGACCACAGCCAGGATACAACCGAAGGCTGGGTAACCAGTAGAGGTCGATACTCGACGCGTCCCACATGGTCTGTGTCGCTGTCGGCACGCTGTCGACAGGACGTCGAGCGACACCGGTGGCAGTGCCACCCAGGAGTGGTCGGGCGTCTCCCGTCATGAGAGAGCCACCATGTGATCCGTATGGTGATTCCTGACAACCGCCTCAGTCAACTTTTGTCACAGTTCCCGCTATGAGAGGAGCTGCGGGTCAGTTCCACAGCTGGAGCTGTGTCGCCGGATTGCGGCGGCCTGCCTCCGGAGGTGCCTCTGAGGTGGACATTTTTTGGTCACCGTGAGAGAACGCGTTCGAATTTTCACTCCGGAACTTCAACTCCGCACGCGCACCGGCCAGGGCTACAATAGTGCCAGTGAGGCGAAGGGCGAGTCGGAAGGCCGCGACCGTCAAGTGTTCCCTTCGTTTTCCTACAATCGCTGTGAAGGTAAGGTAAGGTAAGGTAAGGTAAACGCTGTGAACCCAGCCACGTATCCACTCTGACTCTCTCGAACTCTCTCGATGAGCGCAACCCCCAAAAGGGGAAAAGCTTGGCTGCAAACACGTGACATTGACAAAACGTGCAAGATAGTCTAATATATCGAGAAACTAAAAGAACACAGGCGTGTGTATTGTGTCACCTCTCTCTCTCCTCTCCCTCCCTCCCTCTCCTTGGTGCACGCGTCCAGTGCTAAACTAGCTAGCGCCTCTGCAAACGCAAAAGCCGCCCTGCTATTCTCCACGCTGCACCCCGTCCGTTTCGCCCCCTGCGATCATGACAGCGCGGGGCGGCCCGCTCTCCCGTTTGAGAAGAGAGAGGCCGCGGCGAAGTGCAGGCCATTGGGGCGAGGGGACCAGTCGCGACAGCGTTGCACGGGCTGAGCCGGGCGAGGCGTTCTGGCGCGGCGTCTACCAGCCCGCCGTGTAGTCGTACTCGTCGCTCTCGGCGTTGGGGTCGTCGGACTTGCGGCTCTGCTCGGCGGGGTCGAGGGTGGGGCGGGGGTTGAGTAAGGGAAGGCGTGTGGGTCGAGCTCTGTGGACTGAGGGCCGGAGATGGGCGATAGAGGGGAGATGGAGGGGAGATGGAGGGGAGATAGAGGGAGAGGGCGAGGCCTCGCCTGCGCGACAAAGGCGGGCGGGTGCCGCTCCTTTGTGACCCGCTCTGTGATACCTGCGCTCTTGACGTACTCGCCGCCGTCCTCGGTGTCGAGGAAGAGCGCCCATGAGGGCTGGATAGCCTGGGCGCGCCAACGCGGGAGCCTCCGGTGAGCGAGACATCTCAGAGGGCCGCGTCGAGGGGCGGGGGAGCGGCGGGCTTGCGGCAAGGCGTGTAGGCAGCAGGGCGCGGCGGGGGCGACAGCGGCCAAGGCGCGAGGCTGCGGGGCGGTGCGTCTCGCGCGTTGAGAGCGGAGAGGCGCGATCTCGGGTGATCTCGGGCGTGATCTCGGGTGTGATCTCGGGCGTGATCTCGGGTGGGTGTTCTCGGCGCACGTTGAGGGCGGAGAGGCGCGCAGTGTCGAAGAGCTCTAGCGGCGCCTCGCCGACCTGCAGGGCGGGGCGGGCGGGGTGGGCCGGGCGGGCCGGGCGGGCGGGGTGGGCCGGGCGGGCCGGGCGGGCCGGGCGGGCTGGGAGGCGGTGGCGAGGGCGGCGGCGGGCTGGGCGGCGGCGGGCTGGGCGGTGGCGGCGAGGGCGGAGGCGGAGAGGGCGGAGGCGGCGAGGGCGGAGGCGGAGAGGCGGATCGTGCAGGCAAGAGTTCTTTTCCTCGGGGGGGCCGTGTGCCTGCCGCTGGATCCCCTTGAGCTCTGCCTCGCCGCATAACTTCGCCATCGTCTTGCGGTGCAACTTGACCAGCCGCGCCGCGCGCTGCGAGGTCTCCTCCGTCGGCCAGCCCGAGGCGAGCGACATGTACCTGCCGCGGGGGCGTGTTTCACGAGCTCGGAAGGGGGGTGGGGGGGGGCTTGCGTGCTTGCTGGGCAACTTTGGTCAACGGTAGGGTCAGGGGCGGGTGTCTTCAGCGCCGAGTGAAGCCGCGAGGCGCAGGGGCCACGATGCGCCGGGGAGAGCCGGGGAGAGCCGGACGAGGGGGCGCTGCCCTTCGCAGAGCTGTTGTTGGGCCGTGGTATCGAGGCTCCGCGGCGACGGTCAGGGAGGGGAGGGGGGGGGGGGGGGGGGCCCCCTCTCAAAGTACTCGGGGGCCGGGAGCCACAGCGGGGGCCAGTCGTCCCCTTCCTGTCCCCAGCTGGGGGGGTGAAAAAACCTTTCTCACAGCACCCCCAGGGGGGGCCAGTCGTCCCAATCCTCGTCGATGCTCCGCTCAAACACCTCGCGCGACGGCTCGTACAGCATCGCTGGGGCGGGGCGAGGGCAGGGAAGGCGGAGGGGCGTGGGGGGGGAGGACGGCGGGGCGATGCTGCGAGGGAGACAGTCGCGGGGCAGAGGAAAAAAGGAAAAAAATGTACGCGGGGCAGACGAGGCGGCGACCGCGGCGGTCTGCAGGCTCAGGGCGTGCAGGGGGGAGGCGCTGCACGGCTGCGCCTTTGGACGGGTGCAACTTCGCCATCTCAATCGCGTGCTCCTGAGAGGGGGACGTGTCGGGGACGCGTCAGCGCCGCACACCCGGCCGAAGCCTGGTCTTGCAGGGCGGTCACCGAGGCGAGGAAGCGAGGCAGCACGTCGAAGGAGACGTTGCGGTACACGGTCTGGTACGTGGAGGCGAGCAGCCCCGACACCGACACCTCCGCCGTCGACGACGTCCCTTCCTTCCACTGCTTGAGCGCCTGCCGGGGAAGTGTCTCGGAAGTGTCTCGGAAGTGTCTCGACGACGTCCCTTCCTTCCACTGCTTGAGCGCCTGCCGGGGGGGGGGGGGGGGGAGGGTACTGCGGCGCTCGCCCAGAGGCAACAGCCGAGGGGGCGACGCCCCGACCGCGGAGCGCCTGCTTCAGCTGCTCCCTCAGCCGCGCAGTCACCGCCATCTCCTCGGGCGCGCCAGCCTACGGGCGCTGCCGCTTCCTCAAGCCGACGTCAGACGGCCTCCCGCAGAGGCGCACGCGCGAAATCGAGGCGGCCGCGCTGCCTTGATGTGCGAGTCAAAGATGGTGTCGCCGAGTGCCCTCGCCTGCGCGTCTCCGGCGGTCACAGCGGCCTCGAACTCTCTCACGCGCACCTGGTCGGCGCAGGCGGAGCCCGGGATCGGAAGGACATCGAAGGCGCCGCGGTGGGCAAGGTCAGCCGAGAGGAAGGCACAGCGCGAATGCCCAGGCGGACGCCTGCAGCAGTGGTTCTCTCCCCACCCACCTCTCTTGCCGCCCCTCTCTTCCCAGTGCGGTGGGAAGCGAACCATGAAGGCGACATTCTCGTTCGACAGCTCTGCCTCTGTGAACGACTTGAGGTACGACCTGCAGAGGCGGCACCATGTCAGACGCGTCGGAGCATCCTCATCATCTACCTCATCGAGCGCAGACGCTGAAATTGGCAGAGTCACAAATTGGCATTTGGTGCATCTATGGCGTGAACAGCCGCCAGTGATCGGCGAGGAGGTCCTCAAGCGTGAGCTGCGTCTCGCCACGGATGTCGAACCGATCACTGACCCGATCTCCTGGCACCTTGGCCGCCTTCTTACCCATCGAGACGCCCCGGCGGACCTCGACAGCCGCTTAAGAAGACGGACACGCTGGTTGGTTGGAAGCGCGGCTCGCACAAGCCGAGAGAAGAAAGAATTCACCCTGCTCAGAAGAAAGAATTCTTAAGATACAAGCCTCTCTCACAGCACACTGGCACGACAAGAAAGAATCGCAGCGCGCGCTTCTCAGCTCCCCGGCCCTGGATGTGAGGCTGATAACTGCACTCCAAGTGCTCCAAATTGTCCCAGTGCTCCAAAAGAAGAATGCTGGGCACTCACACCACAGGCGTATTCTAGAGGGGGAAGAGAAACGGGGAATGAGGGGCCCCGCCACGAGGAGTGCGTTTTGGGGATGCAGAGCGTGCAAGGCGGCTAGGGATGAGGCCGCAAAAGAGGCGCGCGAGACAAGGAGGAGAATCGGAGAACTGAGAGACTGGGACGACTGGAAACAAGAAGACAGCGAGCCACCAACCTCCTGAGGCTACCTGAGCTGGCAATGGATGCCACCAGGACGCACGGCTAGCAGGAGCCAGTCAGGCATGCCCTGCTGTGGAGCAGAGCTGGCTGGCGCACCGGCGATACTAACTCAGCGCGCCGCGAGAGGCGAATCTGGGCGACTTTGGAGGCGCAGTTCTCGAGCTTGCCGTCGACGATTGATGTCGGGTAAATTGTCACTGCCGTCCGGGATCGTCTTCTCTCAGGAGGCCGAGCGAACTCCGATACTACGGGTATTCGTTCATGTTCACGGCTGTACACCATAGTAATTCGGCCGTCCGCGAGCCCCTAGCTCGCCGACGGCGAGAGAGATGCCACGGACGGACGGGGTCGTGGTGGCCGGTGGCAGCGTCCATCGAGTGTCACGGGGCGGGTTTCGCGATGGGTGGCCGGGTGAGGGCCCGAGGGTTGCGGAAGGTGCACGGCGGCGTCGGGCGGGCTTTGCGAGTGTGCTCGAGGCGGCCAGTTCCCGCCAAAGCACACTCAAATGCACCTCTCTCTCTCTTGCCCAACTCCCTTGCACAACACTGGGTTTGGCCACGCTGTTTCCCGCACTGGTTTTTTTGCTATCACCGCCGTACGGTGACAGGCACTCGCATATTTTTTTAGGCTCCCCGCGCGACCCACACCCGCAAAACGACCATTTCTAACAAAGTTGTATGCTGCAAGAGATGCTCCAGAAGATACCATACATACGCCTTTGGCCTACTTTTGCGGCGAAGGTTAGGTAGCCTACATGTGTATGCCGATTTGCTGGAGAGCTGAAACTGTGGGGAGGCGCGATCCCCCTTTCTCAAGGCTATGGCCATGACCTACGGTAGTGCCCCCACCAGCACCGGCGCTATAACAACCCCGGCGTGTAGAGTGAGCAGTCATGCACCATGCGCACTCCACTGAGCACTGTACAGACACTAGTCGAGTCTTAAAGATACACGGCTCAGATAGTCGGGTATATCCATTCAATCTAATCTGGAAGCAGCTCTCAGCGCGCGAGATCTTACGCGGCATCGGCGCCGACCATGTGTCGAGGAGCGCAGACAGGAGCCTGCTAGAGACGCCGTGGCATGGCTCGTCCGCACCAAACACTCGTGACTCGATCTCAGTCCGAGTCCGAGTCGTTCTCGTTGATGCCGCTCTTGAACGAGGAGGCCCACGAGGACTTGAGCGCGGCCTTGCGCTTCGCGCCCGACGTGTACGCCTCCGGCGACATATGGGTCGAACGCTGCACCTGGTGCGAGCGCGCGTGCATGCGGCTCATCTTTGAGCCGACCATCCGGTAGTTGGACGCGTCGGCGTAGTGGCCCTGCAGTTCGACGCACTGGGCCTTGAGCATGTTGCTCAGGTCGGTACCTCCCGAAGGCGACAGGGCGACCACGCGGTGGATACGCTCGAGTTCGGCGCGGCCGGCCGCCACGTTGCCCGCGTCGGCGAGGCGCGTGGCCTCCTCCATCGCCTCGGCGACCATGATGCGGTTCCGTTGCTCGTCGAGTGCGGTGTTGACGGGCTGCTCCGCCGGCTCGCTCGCCGGCCTCGCCACCGCGAGGCTCACCGCGACGTCGTCGGGCGCCGACCGAGGCACGTTGAAGCCGCGCAGCGTGGCGTTCAGCACGAGCGGCGGCGGGTCCGTCTGCGGCGCGCGCAGCTTGGGCAGCTGGAGCTCGACGAGGACGTCCTTCTCGTCCTCGGCGAAGAGGTCGCCGAGCACAACGCTGCCCTCGGCGTCGCGTGTGTACGTGCTGCCGAGCACGCGCTTGACGCTCACGCCCGTGCCGACCGCATCGAGGCTCAGCTTGACGTTCTGCGCTACGACGCTCGTCAGCCCGCCGAGCGCGTCGGCGAAGGCGGTCGGGATGTCATCGGGCGTCTTGATGTAGTAGTAGAGGCCGCTCGAGCCCGAGCCGGTCGCGAGATTGCGCAGGCAGGCCTCGTTGTGGTCGGCGCCGAAGCCGAAGGTGTACAGCGAGATCGGCCCGCCGCACTTGGCCGACGCCGTGGCGATCGCGCCGGCGACGGCGCGCGTGAGCTGCGCGGGGTCGCGGAGACCTTCGTTGGCCATGCCGTCCGTAAAGAGCATTACTGCGCGGGTGCGGCCCTCCTTGCTTGCGCCCGAGCGCTCGAGCACTTCGATCGCCTGCAGCGCGCCACCGGAGAGGTTGGTCGTCGAGCCCGGGTGCAGTCCCTTGATCACGCCGTCAGCCTTGTTGCGGCCGGACTCGTCCATCGACGTGAGAGGAAGGTCGAGCCTGATGTTGCTGTCGAAGGTCACGAGCGAGATGCGGTCGTCGCCCTTGAGCCCTGCGCGCTTGACGAGCAGCTCGAGCGTTTTCTTCATTAGCGACATCTTCTCGCCGTGCATGCTGCCGCTGCGGTCGATGCATGCGACAAGATCGATCGGGGGGCGCTTGACATCGTCCAGCGCGGGCGGAGCCTTGATCGAGCACATGGCGAGCATGCGCTCGGCGCTGGCCGCGACGGCACCCTTCTCCGCCGTAACGTGCAGCTGGAGCTGCGGCATCGCGGTGACGTCTGCAGCCGTCGAGACAGACTCGGCGACGGCAACTGGCACACCCGTCGGGATCGTGGCGTCGGGGCGAGCGACCGTCGGGATCGTGGCGTTGGGCCGAGCAAAGAGGTTACCCATGCCGTCGGCTGCAGACATGTCCACACAGGACTTGTCCAGGCCACATCAAAAGCTGATTTTTTCTCCTTGCGCGGCTTTTTTTTTTTTTTGAGAGCGCCTTCGTTGTTAATAATACAAGCCCAAGGTCCCTGGTAGCAGCCATCACTCGCACACACACGCCACACCGCACCGCCCCCCCAGCCCCCGCCCCGCCGAGGTGGGAAAGAGACGAGGAGATGGAACAGCCCGAAGGAGGAAGCACAAGCACGTATGGGAGGGTTCAGTAATGCGCCACGCTGCCCGGCGTTTCTCACTTTCCGGGACAGCCCCGCCCTTGCGAGGCAGGAAAGTGACGGCTACCCCGTACGCCCTGCAGCCTGCTACTCCGACGCCGACTGCCCACTCCCCCCTCCCCTTCCCCCCCTTCGAATTCGTCGGCCCCGACAAGCTGCCCGACGTTGGGCCTCCGCCCCGCACGCCCCTGCCCCTCCCCGCCCCGCGCACACACCCCGACACGCACATATAAGACAAACCCGGCGTCCTGCTCTCAAAAGAAAAAGAAAAAAGGGAATGAGGAGACCAGCGGGGGAGACTCCCCGCCTATGCAAGCCCCAGAGAGGGGCCGCCATCGCCGAAGCTGTGCCAAAGCATAACTCCAAAACCCGCAGCGGCCCGGGGGGCCTTGGGGGCAGCCTGCCGGACCGCCGCTGCACGGGGCTAGGCACCAGAAGATGAGCGGAATTGATGAATCGGGCCGTTGTCCGTGCCTCCCCTCTATACGTCAGAGTGGGACCTACGCCGCGCCGGGTAAGGGGCGCGCCCGGTCCTCGACGGAGCCGCGCGCCCCGAACGACCCAGGCGGCGAGTAGTCGTCCTCGAACCTTCGACATGTAGTTGCCCATAGTTAGCGCCCGCCCGCCCCCCCCCTCCGTCGCTTCGCAAAAGAAAAAACAAAATAAAAACAAGCAAAAGAGAAAGCGAAGCCAAAAACGATTTTTTTTTTGGATTCTCCCGCCCCCTTACCCCTCTCTTGGATTTTTTCTCCTTGCGCTGCTTAGCTCCCAACACCAATTAATTCTTTGTATGTATCCCAGCGTTTCCCAACCCTTCACACAGTAGAGGGCCTCCAGGCGGCAGCTTTCATCAAGGCGGCACGGCGCCCCTCGCGCCACCGCTCGAGGCGCGCCTGAGATCGCGTCACTCGACTAGCACTCGACGTACTCGGCCCTGCGGGCGAGCCCCAGACGCTCCACCCCGCGCGCTGCGCCTACTCCCTCCCCGGCTTGCGCTCTCCTCAGGCCGGCTCCGTCGCGTGTTGCACGCCATCGCAAGGCGGCAGCGGCTCAGTGCAGGTGGCGACTAGATTGCCATTCCCCGCGCTATGTGCTGTCGCCACACGCTGCCCAGCACGCGTACGACGCGCTCTCCTTCGCCTGAACGACACTCTACCGCGTCGCAGGCCAGGGGCATCGCTGGCGCGCTGCAGCGAGGCGGAGGCTCGTCTCAGGCGCCGCCGCCCTGCCGCCCTACTATGACCAGTGGGGACAGCTAGGCTCTTATAGCCAGCTAAAATGTCCCCCAGTGTGTCTGAGAGGGGTCGCCTTGGGGCGCGTTTTTTTAAACCCCGTTATCGCTCCAGCTCTCAAGTTAGTGTCGGGAGAGTGTGTATTGCCATTGTCAAGTGTTGACAGGGAAGCATGACTCGCCCGCTCGCGACGCTCCTCTTCCTTGCCTCCCTATCTCGTGGCCGAGCCCAGTCGTGTGGTAATCCTCAAGTCGCAGGCAGCTCTCCAGACAACTCGGGAGAGCACGCACTCTTCGACACGTGTGCTACGTCTTTTGATCGACATTGCGGCTGCAACTCATGGGATTTCAACAAGATCGACGGCGTCGCGTGCTACGAGAAGGGCCCGATGCAGAGTCTAGCCGATATAGCGTCTCCGCAAGAACTGAGAAGCGCTCCCCAGGGCCACGTCTATGCTGCATGCCTTCCAGTATGCGCATGTGCCTACATGCCGCCCAGCATTGCCATCGACGGCAGCGAGAAGCTTTACGACTGGACGTGCTCGGTGCGAGCCGGATACAGCGACAGGTGCGGATGCGCCCGCAAGTGGAAGTCCTGTTCGTACTCGGGCTGCTGCAGTGACGAGGGGTTCACATGCACGCAACGGAACTTCAACACGGACATGAGCAGCCCATACCCGGGCTTCGCGCAGTGTCGCAAGGCGATGAAGCCAGACGGGAGCAGTCCGTTCCCAAACAAACCCTCCTACCAACAGTGCCCTGACACGTGGGCATGCCACGAGGCTGATGTTGGCCAAACGTGCTTCACGCCCTTCTCGGAGAAGGCGGGCCTCGTACCCAAGGGCGGCCCTCCGGAGGACTTGTGCGACAACACATGCACGACATACAAAAGCTTCAGCACCAAGTGCCACGACCTCGCCTCGCCGAGTGCGGGCAGCGCCTACTGCCCTCTCGGCACGGACTGTGACCGATGCGGTTCTCGCACGACGAAGACGCTCGGATCGTATTGGGTTCTCGCAGCCACGCACTATTCGACCGGTCGAAGAAAGAGGAGCACGAAGCAGTGCCGTCAACTGTGCGCGGGGGACGTCAGCTGCAAGATCTTCTACGTGGCCTTTTCCTACGCGCCTGCAACGACGACGTGGACGATGGAGTGCTACACCAACCAGAACACCGCCGAAATCGAGCTGCTCACCGACGACACCATGCTCGGCTTGCAAGAGGACACGTCTGCAGCGCAAGCGACCAAGGCCGTCTTCGTCAAAGTCAATTGCGCTACACGGAAGGAAACGCACCCGGTCGCCAAGGAAGGGTACATGGGTGGGACGCGAAGCTCAGCACCTCTCTCTCGCATCCAGCATTGCCGCAAGGGCCCGTGCAACAACCCGAACCACTGGAGCATCATGAGTGGCTCGTACTACTACGCTTGCGGGTGGAATTACCCACAGACCACGGGTTATACCACGACTCCGCCACATCAGCCCACAGGGTACGAGCCTCGCGAAGGGGTGTCCTCTAATCGCGGTTGTGGGGCGTGGAACGTCAACCATGAGTTCAGCACGGGGCGGCGTGCACTCCTTGAGAAGAACCGTACCCATGCGCGCAACACTGCTCGGCGGCTGGAGTTCCTGGAGCAGGTCAGGGAGGACGATGACGCCCTCCTCAGCTCGGTGGAATACGCGGAGGAGAATGCGCTCGAGGAGGAGGCGCTCTTCCTGCGTGGCCTCGACCACGTCGACAAAGATTCTAGCGCCTTCTGAGGATCGAGGAGGAGGCGCTCTTCTTCCGCGGCCTCACTCACGTCGACGCGAGGCTTCAAGCGCGTTTTGAGGATGACGCCCGTACGGCATTCAGGGATGCGCGGCGCACAAGCCTGTTGTGGTTGACATGGCACGAGGCTCTATGCCAGGCCCATGACCCTGGGCCGACGAATCCAACTTACTACGTAGGTTCCTACGCAGCCGCGCGCGGGGGACATCTAGGAAAGGGTGGGTGGGGGTTTTGGAACGGGATTCACACCTGATGCATGCCGCGCGACTTGCCCGCGCGGGACGGGTAGTGTCGGCAGCTCGCTCCTCAGAGGATGTCCTCCGCGCTCTCTGCCCCGAGCACGTACTAATACTCCCCAGCCGCCACACGTCAGGACGAAGGACGTCGCCGTCGCGGGCGCGCCGCAGGGAGAAGCCCCTACCAGCTTTCCGCTCGTCGAGGCGCCGCCGCCGCCGCCGCCCACGAGCGACGCCCTCTCCGAGGTGCCGCCTTATTCGGTGTTTGCCGATTCGGAGTACTGAAACTTCTCCCTTCCTCCCTGCCTGTGTGCGCCTGCGGCGCGATTTTTCCTCCCTATGCCTCGAAAAATGCATATTTTCGCCATCTCGGGCTGTCAAGCGGCGGCGTGGTGCCGTGAAGGGCACCCGGCACAAAACTACGATAGTTAGTACCTGCTTCGCGGGATGCGGCACTTGGAGCACTTGGAGTGCAATCATTAGCTCAGATCACATAAGCTGTGGGCCGCTCCCAGTGGGGTCGTGGTCGAGACCGAGGTGTCGAACTGAGAGCCACTACTGGAGGCTTCCTCCGGCCACCGCTCGACTACCCACGCACATGGCCGGTCCTGTGGCTTGCCTGGACTCGCTCAGAAGCCTCAATTCGCGCACACCTTTGCTCTCTGGCTCCCGCGAGTGCGTTCAGGCCACTCAAGCAGGCGACGCCGAGCACCCGCGACGCATCTCGCTGGGGCGCCACCTATCGACCCGACTGATTGGCAGCATCAAAGCCGACCCCATGACGGTCCTTCAGCCCCACGAGGTAGGCAGTTGCGCCCTGATCTCGCTCCAAGACGGCCAACGCCGTGTCCGGCACCTGCTGGCTGCTTCACGGGGATGCCCCCCCCGGACACATGCTGCAGCCCCGAGTGGATATATTGGTCGTTTGTGGGTCCCCCAAGACTACTCTAGTAGGGGCCGGGCGCTTGAGCGTCGGCGGTACACCTGTGCAGATGTTGCACGGGTGAAATGGCTCCTCGTACAGGGTAGGAGGCAGGTGGTGGGTTTGAGTGTCGTGAGTGCTTGCAGCCACGAGTGCAGCACCGTTTGTGACTCCCATGGATGCAGTTGGGTGGGGCACGGTGCTGGGGGGCGGTCCGGTGCGCCACAACAGCCTCCCTGGCTGACCCCCATCCAGTTCGACACCTCTATCCTGACCGTGGAACCCCAACTTCAACCGGTCATATCTCGGGCGGACTGGCATCTCAGGAGCTCATCCTGGGCGGTTTGCGGCCACCCTGTTTCTTCTGTGCCGTTAGTGAGTCTCGTTGCGCCAGCGCAGCAGGCGCGCAGCGCCATGGCCGGCCACCTGGACGTCGACTCAATCATCGAGCGGCTCATGGCCGTCAAGAGCGCACGGCCGGGCACCTGCGTGCCCATCGCTGATAAGGAGGCGGCAGCGCTCGTCGCGGCGGCGGAGGAGGTCGTCTCTGGCCAGCCGGCGCTGCTTGAGCTGGAGGCGGGCTGTGCAGCACTCCCGCCACCGCCGCGCTCGTGCACACGCCCCGCCGCCGCCTCGTCGCCAGCCATCCTCGCCGTCACCGCCGCCGCAGTCCGCCACCCGCCGCCCGCCGCCCGTCGCCCTCCGCCCGCCGCCCGCCGCCCACAGCCGCCTGACCCTGCTGGCCTGCCGCCGCCCCGCCCGCAGGCGCCGATGCAGATCGTGGGCGACATCCATGGGCAGTACTCGGACCTGCTTCGGCTGCTCGACTTCAGCGGCCTCCCCACCGGACCAAAGGGGCCGCGCTACGTCTTCCTCGGCGACTACGTCGACCGCGGTGCCACCGGCCCCTGCCCCGCCACACGGCCTGCCACCGGCCCCTGCCCCGCCACACGGCCTGCCACCGGCCCCTGCCCCGCCACACGGCCTGCCACCGGCCCCTGCGCCGCCACACGGCCTGCCACCGGCCCCTGCGCCGCCACACGGCCTGCCACCGGCCCCTGCGCCGCCACACGGCCTGCCACCGGCCGCCTGGCCAGGCGCCAACGGGCTCGAGTGCATGTTCCTGCTGATGGCGCTCAAAGTCAAGCACCCCGACCAGGCGCCAGCCCCACCTCCCCTCCTCCACCTCCCCTCCTCTCCCTCGCCTCCCCTCCCTCGCCTCCTCTCCTCCTCCACCTCCCCTCCTCTCCCTCGCCTCCTCCTTTCCTCCTCTCGTCCGTCTTCTCCCGTGTTATGAGGTGTTATGGGGTGTTATGAGCAGCCAGCCATAACAGCCATAACACCTGTTATGGCCACTCCCATAACCTTGTCTGGGG